GTTACTGATAAATGACCTCACCCCAAGCGCTGGGAGGCCAGCTGTGTTTCAAAATACGTTTAAGAAAGTGTATTTTGGGGCTAAGGGAGGGTACAAAGGTTGGGCTGGGGGATTACTTCATAACATTGGTTTTAAAATTATTGTTTAATTTTTTGAACTTAGATGCTTTTAAAATTTTATGGGTTTTCAAATATCTTACACTTTATTTGAGATTTAGCTGGGCATAGTAAAAATAAAATAAAACATTATGTTGAATTCTATAAAAAATTTTTAAAAGTTTTTAAAATTTCAAAAACTACAGTTTTTAATGTTCTGACTATGAGATGATTACATAGTAAAAATCGAGATAAGATCAGTGATATATATCAAATTAAGGAGCATAAAATTTTAAGTTTTGTAGCAAAAAGATTAGCTGCTAACACAAAATGATGTTTCAAAAAAGTTACAGTATCTTAATTTGGACATTAGAGCAAGTGTTTACTTTAGTTGCTTAAATTTGTAAATTTGCATATTATCAAAAAACGTTGGAATACTGTAACTTTCTTGTAACTTCATCTTATGTTGGCAGTTAATCTCGTCACTACAAATTTTAAATTTTTTGCTTTTTTATTTGGTATATATCACTATTTCTAACTTGTTTTTACTATCTTGCCATCTCTAGCTAGATTTTGTATTAAAAACTGTAGCTTTTGAAATGTCCAAACATTTTTGTAAAAATTTTAATGAAATTCAACGCTTATCACAAGACATTAGGTATGAGTTGGTGGTTTACAATGCTAAAATTTAAAAAGGTTTACAATCAAACGGAACTGTTGTTGAAATTCACATGATTACAAAAATTGGTAACGTCTTCAGAAATCTTATTTGATTATAATTGACAAGGTTACTGTTACATCCAGGAGGTCAGTTAAAGACAAGGAGAGGGGAAGTTGCATCTTGTAGGAGACTTGTTAGACATGATACGGTTGTTATTCTGATGACATGGTCAATGAGACTTTATAGGGAATTGTCTAGGAGGAAGAGGAAGTTATCGGGGTTTAGTTTGGTATAATATGGCAGTTATCAGTTTTATTTAATGTTACTGTAGAGTTTAAGTTTTATGTATATTAAAGGGTACAGTAGGTGTAGGTAAGTACCGTAGTTGTTTGAAATTGGTCAAGTACCTTGACTTTACTGTAGTTTTTATACAGTAAAGTCATGGTAATTGGCTATTTTTTAAGATACTACGGTGCTTACTTATGTCTACTGTACCTTTTGTGTTCTATAAAAATAGCATTACTGTATCGTTCAATACAAAGCGTGACTGTCGTATTAAACACCCATTGACTTTCTCTTCATTCTGGCCAATTCACTATTTTGCTCTAGACAGGTTGATTTACGTTCAATATAGGGTAATGTAACTTTTGATTTTGGAACTCTTTTATTTTAATACTATAATCATTTTCTTCAAAACACAAGAAAATCAAGTACAATTCTATATTGTGTTTGTCTATTTTTTATATTGTCATACCTTGTTCTTCTTTCGACTTTGAACTCTGACGTTTTGGCACTTTTTCTTGTGTTTTGAATGACATATTCACTGCAAAGGGCTGTTTGTTTGATGTTTTCTGTTCTTTATAAATACGAAGATTAAGCTCGGAATCTGGTCATTATTTGTAAATGTCTGGTATTATTTTACGTTTAATAAGTTATGTATAAGTGCTTATATTGGGAATTATTACTCCTATTCGCTTCGTCTTTGGCCTGGGTAAAGTAGCAAGGGTGCTATTTTTTAGTGTTATATAGGTAGACTTATTGTTATATTTTGGGCTTAGAATCGCTTGTTTTGGTCAGTTTTAATTTTTTTTTGAGTTTTGGTCTTTGTTGAAGGCAGGTCAAACGATTAAGTTTTTTTCTTATTATGATTTGCGGTTTTTGAGCTGTTTTATTCAAAAAAAAGTTGGACATTGATGATTATCTATAAAAAATGGCATTTTCATGTTTTTGTTTTTTGATTAGAGGCAATTTATGATGTTCGGACTTTGCATTTTACATAAAGTTGCAACACTTTATAATAACCTGAAGATTTTAAAATTTCTGTAAGGTTTTTTTGAAAGAACTTTGTTTACGAAGCTTAGATTGGCTAATTTTAAAATAATATACAGTAATCTATATAAGCAAGCTGAAGCGACCGACATTTTGTGTTTACTATAGGGAGTGTTGTCTTTACGGAGTGATTTTTAGTGCAAATTGACTTGGCGAGCCAAATTTCTTGGTTACTATAGTGAGAGTCGCTTATATAGATGATAGAGAGGCCACTATATGACTAAAAGAGGTTAGAACTTGAATAACTTAGCTCTTAATGTCTAGATACACAAAAAATCATTATTAATGTGCAGTTTATTGTTTAATTTATGTATATCATATAATTTACTACTGGGAATAACTCAAAAAACACAATATACGAGGTAAATATTGCTGTCTACACAATAATATAGTATAATTAGGGGTTGTTTGTTATTGTTTTGACGCTGTAATTGGCCTAGTTAGTAGAATAGATATTATAATTTTAAAAAGAAGGATTTTTTAAATTTTTTCTAGACAAAATAAAGATTTTTAGGCTAAAATAAAAACTGAAAGAATTTTTATTTTTTGAAAAGCTAGAAAAATCCGAATTTAGAAAACCTTATCTGTAGGTTTGGAAATTGAATTAATTTCAAAAGGTCATTTTCATTAAATTTTATTTGGAAAAACCGTTTTTTCTCTTGCTTTTGAAAACCTTGTTTTTTGTAAAGAAGGTTTACGATATTAAACTAGGGGTTTTTATTTGGAAACTAGTAAAAAGGTATAAAAAGGATCAAAATTTATAAAATTACAGTGGAACTTCTGTATAGCAAGATTTTAAAGTTGTTCGTTATATGAGGTTTTTATTATAGAGGAGTCGTTATACGAAGATCGATGTATATTGTTCTTTGACTTTGTTAGAAATAACTTCGTTGAATGATGTACTAACAATGAAAGTCTTGAGTCGAGAAGATTCACTGAATGAAGGTTCTTTTTAGTTGTTTTTGCCATTTTTTGCTTTGTAAAGAAAGTTCCTGCCGTTTAGATTTTGTAAAGAAAGTTCTTGCTATTTTTTGCCTTGTAAAGAAAGTCCCTGTTATTTTATGACTTGTAAAGAAAGTTCGGGGCTCATCCAGAACAGCCCCCCATTCCGTTTCACACCCCCAACCGCCAGTTCGCACCCCCAGTGAAACCCCCAAGCTCCAACTCCAGGTTGATCCCACTTGGCCGAACCATATCGGTAATGTCCGAAGTTGGGGGTTGAGGGTCGCGCGAGAGAGTGCTGGTCTACTGACTGGCCAGGGCGGTGAACGGAGGAGCAGAAGGAAGAATTTGCAAAATCTGCTGCTTTTTATACCCATTTTCATTGATTTCGTAAAGGTCAATTTAAAAAATGAATAATTTTTGACTTTTTACGTGCCGGTTGTAAATTTCATTTTCTGGGGGTGCGATCTACAGTGGGTGGGGGTGCGATCTACAGTGGGTGGGGGTGCGATCTACAGTGGGTGGGGGTGCGATCTACAGTGGGTGGGGGTGCGATCTACAGTGGGTGGGGGTGCGATCTACAGTGGGTGGGGGTGCAATCTACATTGGGTGGGGGTGCGATCTACAGTGGGTGGGGGTGCAATCTACATTGGGTGGGGGTGCGATCTACAGTGGGTGGGGGTGCAATCTACATTGCGTGGGGGTGCGATCTACAATGGGTGGGGGTGCGATCTACAGTGGGTGGGGGTGCAATCTACAGTGGGTGGGGGTGCAATCTACATTGGGTGGGGGTGCGATCTACATTGGGTTGTTCAAAATTTTCTGCAAATTGAAATTTATGTGAGAAATCGCAAGAGAAAAAAAAGAAATTTTCAATTTGCTTTTTGGAAATGAGTCTTTGGGGGTATGTTCTGGATAAGATCGGTGGGTGCTTGAAATGGTATGGGTAGGGGGGCTATTCTGGATGAGCGCCGAAAGTTCTTGTCATTTTTTGTTATGTAAAGAAAGTTTTTGTCATTTTCATTTTTGTAATGAAAGTTCTTGTCATTTTCTGTTTTGTAAAGAAAGTTTTTGCTATTGTATAACGTGACAAAAGTGGATGACGTCAACATTTTGTGATGAATCATAGTTCTATGTTAGCTAACCTACGCGCTTCGTTCCTAAATTTGTTTTATTTGGTCTATTTATTTAGTATAAGATGTAAAATTGCAATTTAAAACTGTCTTTAAAGGAAGGCTTTGATGTTATAAACTAAAGTCTTATGTATGATGTGGATAGTGTTGGGCGCGGTGTATTTTTTAGGTGAGGGAGTGTGGAAGAAGTAAAAAATTGAAAATTTATTTTTGGCTAAAGACTCACGGACTTTTCAAAATTAGACTTATAAAAGGGTCGGACCCGGCCCAATTTTTTGGCTCGGCCCTGGGGCTTCATATGTCGTGCCGTGCCGGCTTTTTCAAATTTTCTGGGGGTCGGTTTCCTTTCAGGTCTATTTAAAGTAGAGAAAGTGAAAAAAAAATTTTTAGGCTAGGCACTTGGACTGACCATATTAAATTTAAATTTTTAAGAGTTAGAAACATTAAATTTAAAAATTTTTTTGAAATTTTAAAAAAATCTATTTTTAAGGCACATATTACATAGCTATTGCAATAGTTTTCGCTGTTCTAAAATGTGCGTGTGTTGAAAGCCGTCTTTATCTTTGTGTTTTCTTATGGAAATTGTGAGGTCTTTTTGTTATGTCAACAAAACTTTTGTTTACAATATTCAAGACCAAGTGATTTTTCTTTATTTTTTTGATATTAAGCTTATCAAGGTTTTTAAAAAACCTTGTTATAGTAGACCGTTGGTATAAGTAATCTTGAGAAGGTTACAGCTAAACTATTCGAGTTTTTTACCCAAAATTTCGCGAAATTTTTCAAAATTCGAACTAATTTTACAATTTTTTACAGTAAGATTTGGTTGGGAAGAAGAAGAAAATGCTGGATATTGATGTGATGGTTGATCCGTTGTATGAAATGGTGCCGAGCCCGGTCATCGGCTGCACGATTCTCGTCTTGTACTTGCTTATTCGCTTTCTCAGAGTATTCTCACATCCAGACAGACCTCGAGTCTACACGAAAGAAGTTGAGGACTCGAAGAAACCCACCATCTATCAGGTTCTGAAGAATTGCAAAATTCTCGATGAAAAGTAAGTCGATTTATGTGTGGCATAGACTTGAGATGGCACGTTTTTGCTGGTAAGAATTTTAAGGAGTCAATGATAAGGATGGTGAACGTAAAAAGGCAATGACTTTTTTTACAGACTTTAAAATGATAAGAACTTTCTTTACAATGTATAAAATGGCAAGAACTTTCTTTACAATGTATAAAATTCCAAGAACTTTCTTTACAATGTATAAAATGGCAAGAACTTTCTTTACAAGGTGTAAAATGGCAATAAATTCCTTTACAGAAATGAAAATTTTATTTATCGTATAACTTGTCACTCGCAGCCTGCAAAACCTCATTTTATTTATTTTACGCAGAAATGGCAAAAACTTTTCTTACAAAACATAAAATGACAATAACTTTCTTTACAAAGCTTAAAATGGCAAGAACATTGCTTAGAAAACCAAAAATGGCAATAACTGTGCTTACAAAACATAAAATGACAATAACTTTCTTTCCAGGACGCAAATTTACAAAAAGTACAAAATTTTTAATTTTCAGATACAATCCCCCAGCCCTATGGGGTCGAAATGGACATCTTCAAACCGCGGTCTACGGTGTTCTCGGTCACTCTACACTGAAACGCAGCTTCGACAAGCGTCACACACTGAAACTGACTGACGGCACTACAGTAACTTTTGACGTGTTCGAGCCAACAAAACCACATCCATCGGGTCAAGACTACACAATGGCGTTATGTCCAGGAATCTGCAATCATTCGGAGAGCAACTACATCAGGACGTGTGTTCACAATGCTCAAGAGAATGGTTACAGATGCGCCGTGCTGAATCATCTGGGAGCACTGGCTAACATACCGGTCACTTCGCCGAGACTGTTTTCTTATGGTAGGTTTGGAGGGGTCTTCACAGTATTTTTGTTCGATTATGGGGGGGGAAGGAAGGGCGTTTTTTAACGGGTTGGTTTTATTACAGTAAGCTAGGGGATTCTTTGAGCATATTTAATGTTGGGTGTGGTAACTTTATTTTTTTGAGAGATGGAGGGGGGGGGGTTAAAACGGAAAAAGAATTTTTAGGGGGATGGCATGGAAGATTAAGTTTACCTTTTAAAGTTTATTTATGAATGCCGGGGGATTGATTTAAAAAGTTTTTAGGGGTCGGTTTTTTGAATTTTTAAAAAAGTTAGGAGGGGTTATTTGTACACTTTAGCAAAAAATGAAAACAATTAGTTAAGGGCGGATGATTTTTTTACCTCCGCCCTCCCTCCTTTCGTCCAAATTTTAATTTTCTTTACTATATGCATAACAATATGTTAGGCATGATATACTTATCAATTAAAAAATTTTTATTTTCAGGAAACACAGCCGAACTGATGGCAATGATGGAAACCCTGGGCGAAGTCTATCCCCAAACCAGGTTTATCCAAATTGGCTTTAGCATGGGCGCCAACATCACCACTCTATATCTACACAGAACTTCAGAAGAGCTTCGTAAACGCACGGTAGTCGGCCTATCAGTATGCCAAGGATACGATGCTGATAAGAGTGGTCATCTGTTTCATGATTGGGAATGTGGCCGAAGAGTTTACAATTACATCATTACCGAGAATGTAAAACGATTACTGAGAAGGAACTTTGACGCTGTTGTTGCTCCACACGTCAAGACTGGAGTTGTGGATGAACAGAGGTTGTTCTCGGCTACTTCTGTGCTAGGATTGGATGAGCATTACACTAGGAGGATATTGGTGGGTAACTTTTTTACTTGGCTTAAAATGGCAAACACTTTCTTTACAAGGTATAAAATGGCAATAACTTTCTTTACAAAGCATAAAATGGCAATAACTTTCTTTAAAAAACATAAAATCGCAAGAACTTTCTTTACAAAACAAAATAGCAAGAACTTTTCATACAAAACACAAAATGTCAAGAACTTTCTTTACAAAGCATAAAATGGCAAGAACTTTATGTACAATATCAAAAATGGCAGGAACTTTCTTTACAAAACAAAATTTTCAAAGTTTTTAAAAAGTTTAGTTTAGTCCACTCAATAAACTCATTTTCAGGGCTACAACTCGGTGGAAGAAATGTACAAAGACGCGTCATCGTTTCACAAAATTCCAAAAATTCGAATTCCAACGGTTTTTATAAACTCGGCCGACGACCCCCTCTTCCCTCAACAACTATGGGGACCGGTCAGGGAGGTGTGTTCTCAAAGCGACAAACACGCTTTTGTACTCATGAAGCACGGTGGACATCTGGGCTTTCTCGAGGGCTGGTCCATGAAGCCATCGTCAGTGACGTGGCTCGACAAATTCATCGTGGAACTTGCGAATTCAGCTACGGGTTTACTGGATTCTGAACAGAATTGATATCGTTGAGACAGTGTCAAGGCTTCTGAAGAAAATATGAAGGATTCTGAAGGGAATTGAAATGATTCGACGTTGATTTTGGCATTTTTTAACAGAATTGACTTGATTTGACCTTGTTTTATATGGTTTATATTGTTTTAGACTTGATTTCAGAGGTTTGACTTGTTTTTCTAGTCTTTTTATGACTATATGTTAAGGATAAGATGTTGAAGTATACCTTTCAGTTGTAGAAAGTTATGTTCAAGTTAAATTTAACTGATTTGACTTTGTTTTTGGTGATTTAAGGCTTGGTTTTAGATGATTTACCTTGTTTTTTGGCTTGGTTTTACTAAATTTATTCTTTTTGCCATTCTTTTTTGACTTACTTTGAATAGTATGATATTAAAATGTAAAATAATGTCTTAGGAACGTATCTATAGATTTATGCTATTCTTTTTACTATGTATTCGTCTTATCTTCAAAAGTTAAGGGTAGTAAACTCGGTTAAAATTGTAGCTTTTGTGATCTCCACCTTGTAGTTATGTAGGGATACCCAGTTATGTATGTATATGAATATGTTTTTGATTAATTTTATTTGTTGGATAAATAAATTGTTATTATGTAGCAGGAGCATTGATTGAGATGTGTGGTTGTAACTGTTTCTATTCAGTTTTGTCCTTGTTTTGTTTTATGGGCATTTTGGGGTTGTTTTGTGGTGTTTGGTAGGGTTTATGTGATCCTTTATGGGGTTTTTGTGATGTTTTATGAGATGTTTGTGGTACCTTATTGGGGTTTTGTGGTATTTTATAGGGTTTTATAGTCTTTTATAAGGTTTTTTTGGTATTTTATGGCATTTTTGTTGTATTTTATAATATTTTCAGGTATTTTATAAGGCTTTTGTGGGAGGTCATGGTTTTTTTTGTTATTTTATAGGGTTTCGTGGTATTTAACAGGCTCTTTGCAGTATTTTGTCGGGTTTTGTGTTGTTATCAATGGAACGTTTGTTATACAGTCGAACTCGTGTATCACGAATCGCTAGGGGATTTACAATTTGTTCGTTATAAAGCAGTTTTGTTATAGAGAGGAGTTTTAAATGCACTGTGTAGTGATGGACGGGGATTTAGTATTTGTTCGTTATACATAAATTTCTTTATAGTGGAGCTCGTTATACAGGAATTTTACTGTATTTCTTTTTTTTTTGTTTTTTGATTTTACTTTGATTTGTAATGGTTATTTTGATGGTTCTACGTTTAATTTTTCTATTTTTATTGCTTTTAGTTGGGTAGTTTTTGTGTTTTTCATGTAGTTTTATGTTTATTTTATGTATATAGGAACACGTTAATGGTGTTATTACTTTTGTTTTAGTGTTTTTCTTTTTACTTTTTTACCTTTAAGGTTTTTAAAGTTTTGAGACTAGAAAAGTGAGGTTTAAACTAGGTAGGGTAACTAGACTTTTAAAGAGGCTGGGTTTGGCCAATTGGATTCGTTTTCAAATAACAAGGTAACAACATAGGTTGAATGGTTATGTTGGACTTTGAACTGAATTTTTTCTAAAGAAAAGATTGATTTCAGCGAAAGTTAGAGATATTATTGATTTACAGGTTTTGTCTTTATTATTAGAGTTAAATACGTCTTGTTACAGTCAACTTTAGAGGACTAATTTTTTAGATTTACTATTCGTTTGTTTTTTATTGGTCAGTTATTTCACATAGCTATTCAAGGTAGTATTTTGAATATTACGATGTACATATAGAGTAGTTTATTTTGCAATGATTCATAGCTTTAATATAGTTATTATCATGGATAATATTATTTTCTGTTCAAATCTTGGCCGATCTCTCGTTCATAACTAGCATCAATTTCATCAATATTCACTATCTTTAACTCATTCTCCTCATCCTGTTCTTCTTCGTACTCATTCCGAGTATCAACTCTGACATTCCGATTAAACTTACAGCCATTCTCTCCATAGTCCGACACTCTAACATTGTAGTAGAACACATGATCCAACACCGAAGTCTGACCGGTAAAATACATGGTTGCACATTTGATGTCACTTTCAGTACATGTCACGTACTCCGAGCCAATGTTCATTTCTTTTTTGTATATCACGGCCAATTTGTGGTGCCAAAACCGATTCGGATTAGCCAATGGCAGGTTTACTACAATGTCACGATTGTTGATGATACGATAGGATTGCTTGATGTGGCGGTCGATGAATTCTGCAAAAGCTTGATCTCCAGTACGAGGTTGGCCGTAGGTGTAGAGCATGATACGGGTGGCATAAGATGGGTGTGTATAGGCGATTTCGGCCGCGCATACGGAGGCCATCGCTCCGCCGAGGGAGTGACCGGTTATCTGAATATAAGGATAGGTTTAAGGTGGAGGATAGTAGAGTATGGTATATTAAGATAGGGTATGTAGCATAAGATAATGTACGGTAGAGTAAAGTATGGAAGGGCAGGGTAAGGTGCAGTAGAGAATGGTAAGGTAGGCGAAGGGAGACTAGAGTAAAGTAAGGTAGGGTAACGTAAAGCATTTTATATTAATATCGGGTAGGATAAAGTACGATAGAGAAGGGTAGCGTACACTAATGCATCGTAGGATGAATAAGGATAGGGTAGGTTAAAGTAGGGTATGATAGGGTTTGGCAATGTAAGGTATAGTAGAGTAGAGTAAAGATATGTCAGACCTTGTTTCCGAGAAATTGGAGTTTAAATTTGGAACTTTTTACAAGGAACCTACCCAAATTTTGTAGCTGGGAAACTGTTTGGCCAATTTCTCGAATTGTTCTTTCATTCCGCCAGTCCAAATGGCCTGGAAAGCGTTGTTGAAATAGTAACTAACTTTGGTACCATTAAATTCTGGGACTGGTGGCTTCACTAGAGTATCCAGGCCTTCTCGAATTACTTGTTCTTGGGTTTCTGAGCCTCTGAAATGTTAATATTGTAGGTTAGAGTAGTTAGAGGGACTGTAGAGTAGCTACAGTGATTACAATGGTATTACCATCTTACCGAAAAGAGATAATGATGGCTTTGTCTTTGTGTGACAAAGCGATGAATCCGAAACAGTAGTCATTCTCGTTCGAATCGCATGGTACACGGTATTTGGCTATTAACTTTAAAAACATTGGTATATTGTTAATACAGTAAGTTCTATTACAGCTAGAGTAAACCTTTAGTATATTCCGCCGACAGGTTTGTTTTAGGAGGCGGGGTGGTAATTTTTTTCTAAGGGGTGATTTTCTAATTTACTCTTTCTTCTAAAGATGTAGCTAGAGGGAGGGGGGGGGGTCGCTGGGGGTGGATTCACCTTCCTCTCCTTCTCTCTTCTTAGAAAAACCCTATAGCAACTTCTATGCTCTCTTCTCATACCGTATGCTTTTGACAAGCCACAACGTGCTTTTGATAAACTACCGTATGCTTTTGACAAGCTACAGTGTGCTTTTGATAAACTGCAGTAGGCTTTGACAAGCTACAGAGTTCTTTTGATTAACTACAGTATGATTTTGACTTACTATCGTATGCTTTTGACAAGCTACAGTGTGCTTTTGATAAACTACAGTAGGCTTTTGACAAGCTACAGTCTGCTTTTGATAAACTACAGTAGGCTTTTCACAAGCTACAGTATGTTTTTTGACTAACTACCGTATTCTTTTGACTAGCTACCGTATGCTTTTATCTAGCTACATCTCTAGTTTTTCTTGCTATGCTTTTTAACTTACCGTAGCGTTACTGAGTTTATTCTTGATGCACTGTTCTGGTTGATCTGAATAGGCGGCCGCCGCAAGTGGGAAAAACTTGGATCTGGATAGGAATTCGTTATAAACTGCTGTTGCTGGATCACATAGTAAAAGGCTTGTTATCAATAGAACGACATTAGTAACTGTTGTCATTTGTATATCGCCAATAGTCGACAACACTGGTGTAGTTTGGTCTAGTTAAGACTGGAGTAATATGTTCTGGTTAACTCTGGACTAACTTGGCCTACAGTGGTGTAATTTAGTTTACAATTGTTAATGTAAACTGGAATAGCTTGGCCTAGGTAAAATTGGTGTAGTTTGACTTAAACCAGGCTTTCTTTTAAGTAGGCCAGACTAATTTCGGAAGAATTTAATATGAGTGACAAACCTTGATAAATTTTGTTTTTCTAAAATTAATTGATAGATGTGTCACTTAAGTTAGTCAGAAGCATAATTTTGTATCTTTTTTTGATTTTTCAAATTATTATTTCGAAGATCTGTTAAAACTTTATTAAAATTTCCAAAGCATAAGGTATATACATTAATATAGCATTGAATTCACTGATATTACGACTCATTTAACAAATCTTGAAGATCTTTAGGTATATTATTGTTTTCGTACCATAGTGGGTTAAAATACGTCGTTTTTTGGACCGTGTTTTGTGATGTTTTAGATGATTCGTTTTGTTCTGGTAATGCTAGGGTCTTCTGATTATCTGATCTTGTAGTAGATGTTGTTGTATGTGACACTAATAGTGTCGTTGGTGTGGTGTTATGAGATACTAGTAACATAGTTGGTTTTGTGTTATCTGACACTAATAATGTAGTAGATGTTGTGGTAGTAGTTACTAGTAATGTGGTAGATGTTGTGGTAACTGACACTAATGTTGTAGTAGATGGTGTGGTTAGAGGCAGAATTGAATTGGTAGATATTGTAGTATTTAATGTCAATAAAGTTGTGGATGTTGTTGTATAGTGTTTAGAAGAAGCAACAGGTATTGAAGTAAAGGATACAAGTAAAGGTGCTAATGTTGTAGTAAGTGCTAGGTTTAGGTCTGTGGTTGTTGTAGTAAGTGGTGTTTCTAGGTTTGTGAATGTTGTAGTAAATGGTAGTAAAAGGTTTGTGGCTGTTGCAGTAGGCAGTAGTGTAGATTCTGCAGAAGCTGTTTGAGTCTGAACGGTCATATCTGGTGACAATGTTAATGTAGGTTTTGGAAAAGATTCTGTAGCTTTTGAGGATGTCGTAATAGGTTTTGGAGTTATGGTATTGTCTTCAGATTTTGTTATGATCGTATCTTTTACATTGGCTTGAGATTTTGCTAGCAGCGTATCTTCTACATCGGCTTCAGATATTGTTTTTGCTATATCTTCTACTTTACTTTTTGTTCCGTCTACTGTCGTATATTGATCATCTGCTATTGAATTCATACTATCAAAGTAAGCTTTTGAAGTTGTAGAGCTCAAGATATCAAAACGTAGAGCTTCTCGGTCTTCCATATTTGTCATGTACAAGTTTAAAGTTGGATTGTAGTCTAGTGCTTCTGGACTTATCGTCGTATGGTTTGTTAATCTTCTAAACATATCACTAGGACGATATTGTGATGGTATTCTGGGACTGTCGGTTGTGCTTTTACCTAGTAATCTACTAAAATCATTGCTCGTATTATATACTTGAAACGTATTAAAAATGGCACTTGAATTACCAGGCGACCTTCTGAAAACATTTGACGGTAACTCGATAATCTCGAAATGAGTCATCCCTTCTGACGACTCTTCTGCTTCTGGAGCTATTATCTTGTTATCACTGCCTTCTTGTTCTTTGTCTTGTTGATAAACATTGTAAAAGTGGTCTTTTGGGGCTGCTGATGTAGGTAATGCTAGTGTAGATTCAGGGGTCTCAAATGGATTTCTAGGTGGTTGTTGAGGTAATTCAGGTAGTTTGCTTAAGTCAACTGGTATACCAGGTAGTCCAAGCAGTGTTTGTGCTTGTTTTAGCTGAGCTTCGGAAATTCCTGGAGGTAGATTTGGTACATCAAAGGGTTTGTTTGGTACTCCGGAGAGTAGACCTGACACTTCGAAGGGTAAACTTGACACACCGAGAGACAAACTTGTTACTGCGACTGTTGAGTCTGTTGAATCAATGGTTTTTGTCGCTGCTTCAGGTATGCCGAAAGGTAAGCCAGGTACTCCAATTATAGAATTTGATTCTATTGATTTAGTTATACTAGGAGAACCAGCTGAAAATATGATTTTATAAAATTTTTATGACAGATACGGTACGGCAAGATTAGAGTATGGTACGACTAGGATGTGGTTAGTAAAGGTAGTACGGCTTAAGGTACTGTCTATAAGGTAGATAGACAGTACTTTTGTATCTAGGGAAACGGTAAAGCGCTAGGTTTGTACTTTTATCTCTAAAGTACTATAAGATACGGAACGACAAGACTAGAGTATGGTATGATTAGGGTGTGTTAAATATAGGTAGGGTAAGGCAAATAGACATTAACTCAGGAGATAGGAAAAGAGTAAGGTAGCGCTAGGTTTGCACTCTTAAGGCTAAGGTAATATGAGATATATATGTTTGAAAGTTACATGTTATATGTTTTTACTAACTTACCATATTCATTAGCATCTGCCTTCTCAGTCAGATCAAAGACTTCCACCTGATCAGGGCTTTGAATAAGGCCAAGATCTTGTAGTAGCTTTATGTCTTTAGGCAGTTTCGAATCTTTCGTCGATTTTGCTGATACTCCAGATAGCTTTCTGTAGCTTGGCCCTACTGGTCCAATTAACTGTCTATCACTGTTACCTGTTTCTTTGGCTAATTCAGTAGCTTTTGAAGAGGATTTGTCTGGTTTTAGTGGTTTTTCGTCATGATGACTATTTTTATGGACGTCTGAAAATATTTTATATAATTATGTTTGTCATGATATTATGAAGATACCATGGTAAAATTGTCGTTTTTAGTATGATTTATAGGTCTAGAACGATCTTTCTTACCGTGATTTGAAGCTCCAACATGATGGTTTTCACCGTGATAAGCTTTGTTATCGACCTGACTTTTCTTATCATTATCAACCCTATCTGTGCTATTTCCAATTCCAGGTATACCACTTTTACCATTCTCATGTAGCCGAATATCATCCGAGATACCAGGATTACCAGGCCATGATATCACCACTCCGCTAGCCGTACAGCATCTTCTACATACCGCACACGGGTTCGGTGCTGCCGTAGTAGTGGTTGTGGTCGGAGCATATGGTGGATAACATCGCCATGGCTGTGTTACACAGATGTTTGGAGCAGCGGTAGTAGTAGTCGTTGTCGTATATAGCCATGGATAACATATCCAAGGTTGTGATAGACATATATATTGTGTTGTTGTGGTAGGCGCGGGTGTTGTACATAGGTTAGGGTAACATAGACATGGTTGTGTTACACATATGCTAAGAGTTGTTGTAGTAACAGTCGGTGCTACTGTAGGTAAACATAGATAAGGTAGAACGTTACATATAGCTGGTCTTGTCGTTGTGGTAATTACAGTCGTTGTAGTAAGGTAAGGGTAACAAAGTAAAGGATTTGCTATGCATACAGCAGGTATTGTAGTAGTAGTGGTAGTCGCGACTGTCGTAGTTAAGTAGGGATAACATAGTAAAGGATTTATTATGCATAAAGCAGGTATTGTAGTCGTAGTTGTAGTAGCGACTGTAGTAGTCAGGTAAGGATAACACAGCAATGGATTTGCGATGCATATAGCAGGTATTGTAGTTGTAGTAGCAGTAGCTACTGTCGTAGTAAGGTATGGATAACATAACAGAGGATTAGTCAAACATATAGCAGGAATTGGTGTAGTAGTAGTTACTGCCGGTACCACTACCGGTATTGGTGCATAACACAACGATGGTGCTATGCTACAAATGTTTGTAGTACTAACATAAGTGGGGGTACAAGCTTCAGTACGGTGAAGAAAAGTAAAATACAGTAGGAAAGTGAAAATACTAAACAGCATTGTGTGGTAATTGTTACTACATACCTCTGTTGACTTAATTGTGAGAAAACGATTGTTTTCGGTTACCAAGGCTCGATTAAGAGTAATCCGAGAGAATTCGAACAAATACACACTTATTTCAAGTCTTACCGTAATTTTTGTCGCCAGGATTATGGTAAATTAGAGCAAAAAACGGGGCAGGGGGAACATTAGGCTAGGGTAGCGGAGGGAAGATTAGGGTTGGACAGATAGTAAGGGAAAGGTAGGGCAAAAAAGATTTGATGGTTGGGATAAGGTAGGCTCTGTAAAGTATTTTGCTAGTAGGGAAAGGGTAGGGTAAGAGAGGATAGGTTAGGGTAGGACAGATAGTACGGTGGGCTATTGTAGGCTTTGGAAAGCTTTCTGCTACCAGGCAATGGTAGAGTAAGGTAGGGCAGGGTAAGGGAGGGTAGATTAGGGTTGGTTAGATAATACGTTCGGCTAGGGTAAAAAAGTTTTGATGGTGGTATTTTTTGCTAATAAGGAAAGGCTAGGATAATGTAGGGTAAGACAGAGTAGTGTAAGGCAGGACAAGGTAAGGACTAAAACTGCCATATCCTTTTTCAAAAAATAGGTAATAACTTGAAAATTGGTGACAACAGCTTATTCATGTGGTCAGCTAAACCTATTTAAAAGAGTTTTAAATTTGCAGTGAGAGAAAAGATAAAAGGAAAAAGATGCTGTACTTCTACCGTAACCCTAAATTTTTAAATTTCGAAAAAATTTTTGACAGAAATTAAAACGGCCGTTTTATAAAGCACAAAAGGTAGTGTGGGTTTAGTATGGATTAGGTTTATATCTTGTTTCGATCAGTTTTTTTATTTAAAAATGTTGAAAATTCAAAAAAGTTCGAATCCACTTGGAGAACAAGGGATATATTGAAACTTTAAGAGTTTATAACTCATTTACTATGATAGATATAGTTCCAAAACTATAAGAAATGATCTAAAGTTTTATTTTTTAAATCAATCTTTCATTTTTGTTACGTTTTGACTATATTTCTGGATATCCTTTGAGGTTTTTGAATACTTTTAGGTATGTTTTTTGCGATTTTTTGTCAAAAATTTGCCACTTTTAAACTTTTAGGTAAGAATAACTTGTTTATTGTTATGAACCCAGCAATTTTAAAAACAAGAGTACTTACTTCTTTTCTACGTGGGTTTGGAAAAGAAGTAGGTAGTAGTGTGAAACATATTCGGGAGGGAATAAATTACCGGAAATTGTTCTTCAACCCGCAAGAAAAAGACGTTTTTAAGCTTTTGGAACACAAAATTGCATTGAAAAAGTGGTTTTCAAGGGGGTTTTACTTACTTTTTAAGGTTTTATATGGCTTATTGATGGTTTTGAAAATTTTTGTTTTTGGGCGGGGTAAATTTTTTTCCTTATTTTAGGGTTGGGAGGGCTAAGAGTGAGTAGGGAAAGAATTAAAGTGGTTTAAAATTAACCCAAAGATTTTTTTTTATTTTTTGAAAAAAATGGGACGGGTAAAAGTTGGTTTTATTTTTACAGGGGGTTGATTTTGGACATTTTTTTAAGGATGGAAGGACGAGAAGTGGGTACGAAAAGAATTAAAGTTTGTTTGAAATTGAGCAAAATGTACCTTTTTTGTTTTTTAAAAAAAAATTGGGCGGGGTAATTTTTTTTTGTTTTTTTCGGGGGTGGATTTTGGAAAACAGGCTTGGCGAAGTATCAAATTTTGTTTGGATTGTCTAAAATAGCTTAAATTTTACAATTTCAGAAAAAAATTTGGGCGGAATAGATATTTTTGGGGGTGGATAAAATATGAAAAATTTCGTTTTGTAATGGGTAAGACGGGATGCTATGTAGGTTGTTCAAATAATTCTGTGCTCCTAATTCCAAAAATTTGCTTTGAAAAGGGGCACAGAATTATTTGAACAGACTAATACATAGGTATGACATTGCAGTAAACAAAAGGTAATTGACCGACTGTTTGTTATCAACGAACAAATCAAGGTGTTTTTGTGTAAATATTTATTACCGAATCGATTATTCTTTTTATGGGCAGTAGGTTGAAGGTTTATTTGTCTGCAATGAAACCCAAAATTTAATCTTTTATCTTTTTAACGTTGCAGTATATTAACTTTTGTTTACTTTTTTATTGTTTTAGGCTTATTATGGCTAATTTATTATTTTTGAGTTTACGAATTATTAAAATTTTCAATTTTTGTAGGATGGGCATGGTTAGTAATGGATTTTAGGCTGCGTTGACACCTTCATGGGGTCATTGGAGGAGGGCCCGGGGCGAAGGCATCGTAAAAGAAGTAGATTAGACCAAGGTAGGGTAGGTTTGAATAAGGTAGAGTAGGATAGGCTTAGGTATGTTAGTGTAGGGGTAGGGTAGAGTAGGATATGGCAGAGCAGGGTAGAGTAGGAAGTGTTTGGGTAAGGTAGGATAGAGTAGGATAGGGCAAAGTAAGGTAGGGTAGGGTGTTATACAGTAGGTCAGGGTAGAGTAGGGTGAGCTTGAGTATGGTAGGGTGAGGTAGGGCATGTTAGAGCAGAGTAGGGTAGAATAGGATACAGTAGTATAGGCTTGGGTATGGTAAGGCAAGGTAAGGTAGTATAGGGTAGGGTAAGGTAGGGTATGGTAGGTCACGATCTATTACTGTATTGTAAAACACTATTTTGTTATGTTATCATTTGTACAAGTTATATTATACATGACTATTTTCGTGTTGGTATATATTACACCGCTTATCTGTATTTCAAAATTTAATTCTCTCAACTTTCAGCCATCTCTACTGTTCTCTCCTCAACCTTTCTTTAACTTCTACTCAAGTAACCATGGTAAGTCGTTTTGCAAACTTAAATACAATTTTACTGTATATATGTTTTTCAAAACATTTTAAAATTAAAATACTATCAAACTGAATGAATGTAGTTGAATTGACAGAAGTGTAATTTGAAACGACAAAATGGGTAAAAATGTAAATGAAGATATTGATTAAATAATAGAATTTACTGTAGTTTTAACATTTTCATGGTTGTAAAAGTTGAAAAATTGGGATTGAATGATGAAATTTTAAAAAGTAAATGTTAATATGTAAAAGTAGATATTAAAAATGTCAAGCAGAGGTATACAGGGTGCGCCAAAACTCCCCGGACTAACTTTACCGGTCGATTTCCTAAAGTTGTACAATAAGATTTAGGACCTTGCTATGATAGATTTTAGCATTTTAAGTTTAATAATTCTTTAAAATTGGTTTTCTGCTTACTTTTTTGGTCATAACTTTTTTTGAGGAATAGGTATAAACACAAAAGGTTAGGTATTTATGGATTATTGACATTGTCAACTATAACATAGAACACAATTTTGAATTTTGTCATTTTAAACGTTACAGTCAGTGCCGGGCGGGGACTTTTGGTCTGGGGGGGGGGTTCGAAAATTTTTTTTCCTAAAATCCATAGGGGGGGGCACATTCAAATTTTTTCGATTTTTCTGGAACGGGGGGGGGGAACCCCCCCCCCCCCCTTCCCCCCAGCGCCCTGGTTACAGTAGTTTTAACATAATTACTTCTAAGGGGTAAGATATGAACATGAAACTTTTAGAAGAGATATTTGGTTGTCCGAATATGAATGAGCCAAAATTTGTCAACGTTTGGCGCTTTGAATGGCTCATCTATATTTGGACAACCTGGTACAATAGATAGAAAATTTTATGGTTGACTATGTATGATTTTGGTTTGAGTTTTTCTTGAAAAATCTGAAAAACTTGGGTTTGCCACGATAAAATTACTGCAACTTTTTAAATATTTTAAATTTTAAAACGGTTTTAATTTGCTTAGTTGACAATATTAATAGGCCAACATGTCACAAATTCTCGAAGTTTTAGCTACGGGCTTACAAAAGTTATGGCACAAAACTTTGGCATATTGTTTATTTTTTATATTGTTATTGCCTGATGGCTTAAATTTTGTTTTATTGATAAGGTAAAGGGATAATAAGTCATAATTTTAATTTCATTTGATATATATGTATCTTTGCATTAATATACAACTATACATTTGCATCGAAAACCTATTTTTGTCATGCTCCCGAAGCAAAACATTGTTCATGACATTAGCATTGGAAATGTGGTTTGTAAACATAAAACAATGTAAATCAAGATGGCATTCAAACCGCAAATCGAAAGGGGACAAATAAATCGCGGGAATTTCGCTGTGTTATTTTTCGGTGCAAAGGACAAGACGCCCTAAGGCGATGACTGTTTCTTTTTGTCATTCGGCTGCTGGTTTTTTTGGGCCGCTTAACGATTTCATATGCTTTGGTTTTTGTACACAAATTGTCTGTCATGAAGACGGTCTTTATTGGGGTGGAGATCTTGATCTTGGATTTGGTTGGACTGGGAGCGATTGGGCGGGGTAAATTTTTAGATTGATAAGGGGATGGATGGAGATGAAGGGAGGGTAGGGTCATAATGCTTTGGTTTTTAACACAAATTGTCCTTCATGAAAACCGTCTTTGTAAGGGTAGGGATCTTGATCTCGGATTTGGTTGGACTGGGAAATATTGGGCGGGGTAAGTTTTTGAGGTGGAAGCTGGTGTGTACTTTTGGGTGTAGACTTGTTAATTCCTGGAAACAAGTTTTGTTAAATTTTTAAAAGGCTGGTTTTAGGGTGAAATAGTAGGGAGGGGGTAAATTTTTTGGTTAATAAGAGAGGGGGGAGGGGGATAAAGAGAGTGGGGCTTTTATTGATAAAGAGAATACTTTTGGCTTTTGAGTAGTTATGTATAATAACAGTCGTTTTTGAAAACGAGTTTTGT